GTTGAGATAAGAACAGTTTAATAGAACAGAAAGGAAGAAAATAATAATTATAATAATAACAATAATAAAATGACAATACTAATAAAAGGATTGGAATATACAAAACAAGTGATGCACAATGCAATTGCTCACCCCTTGCTGACCAATGCCCAGTTAGTTCCCGAGCAGCGATCTGCCCCCCAGGCCAGCTCCCCCCAGTTTATATACTGGACATGACATCACATGGTATGGATTATCCCTTTGGCCAGTTTGGGTCAGCTGTCCTGGCTGTGTCCCCTCCCAACGTCTTGTGCCCCTCCAGCCTTCTTGCTGCCTGGGCAGGAGAAGCTGAACAATCCTTGACTTAGTCTAAACACTGCTTAGCAACAGCTGAAAACATCTCCTCATACTGAATCCAAAACATAACACTATACCAGCTACTAGAAAGAAAATTAACTCTATCCCAGCTGAAACCAGGACAATCCTGGTAGATGGAGCCAGGCATCAGGGCTCCTGTGAACATGGGGTCCCTCCTAAAGGCACCTCGGTCAGAGGCAGCACAACTGCAGCCTCTCCTCCTTCCAGTGGTGCTGCTGCTGGAAGAAAATGGGTCCTGGAACAAGCCCTGATATGAGGCAGCAAGCGCGTGAGGCTTAATAGTAGAGGAACCATGTGTTTGAGTTTCCTACTCCATGAATGAGGCTGGCCAGGTCTGACTCATCAACGAGGCACGCTGGGGAGAGAGAGGGACCCAGCTCATTTCCCCTGCATTTTATTTGTCCCTGCATATGTTGTGATCCCAGAAGCACTGGGGAATGGAGAAGCTGCCTACCAGGACAGCAAGTGGTGGGAGGAGAGGAGATGGAGAAAGGCAGAGACTAGAAGAAGCCTTGTCTCCATGCGCTTTCCCCTTTGCTCCACCATTCTTTACGCTCACAGCTAAAGCGCTGCTGGGGCACATCGGTGCTGGCAAGGTGCACGGAAAGATATCGTAAAGGGTGCTGGAACACCAGCTCCAGTGGGACAGGAGCAATGAGGATAAATGATAAATGAAAGTAAGCAGTGGATGAATGAAAGTAGGTCGTGTGCAATACTAACATTGGCACTGCAGTGTTTCCACATTTCGTTGTCTTCCCTAAATGCTAAACTACACACGTTCCTGACTGCTGTAAAAATATCCTTGGAGATCTGGTCATTCTTAGCCCCATCCAGGTCAGAAAAAAGCAGGGAAGGAACAGCCTTTCCGAGTCACAGTTTATTGGGAGCCGTGTGTGTGTGTATGGGTTGCCTATGCTCATGTAAGAACCTCTCAAAAGAACAACCCTATAAGCCGTCAGGAGTGAAGGGAGCCCAGTGACATTTCTTTCTGCTCTCAAAGTAAGCCTTGAAATGCAACATTTAACTCCCAGCCAACTCTGCCCCATGCCAGATTGTAAGCTGTGTTGCCCAGCCCGACAAACCCTGCTTTGGTGGTCGTTGCAGGTCTGGCATCCCGTCCCTGGTTGCACTTCAAAGCACCGAAGTCCTCCTGAGCAATGTTTCTTCTCTCAGCCTGCAAGATCTCTCCTCAGCCGCGGTCATGGCAGCAGCAGCAACCGCAGCGTGGGAGGCAGCAAGCTTCAGTGTTGGACGGGAAAGACTTAGGTTAAATCACCGCTTTCAGAATTGATTTATGGGCATAATTATTCATACACAGAGGGGTTTTTCAGGCAAATGTATGGGTTTGTAATGGAGGAGGCAAACACGGTCTCCCAATCCGACCTTTCACGCGGCGGGATGCTGGGACATGGCCCTGTATGGGGGAGGTAAGCAGGGGTTCGCGTGGTGAACGCGTGAGCTCCTGTTTCCCTTCCCCAGCCCAAGCACGGTGGTAGCACGGCCCCGACAGGAGCTGCTGGACGCAGCTTCTCAGACGGCAGCAAAGCAACAACCACTTTGTGGCAGGATCTGGCCCCTGTGTGTGACGGCAGCCCCCAGCTCCCGGCCGGGGTTTGCCTAGCTGTGTGCCGCTCATATTAGATGCTCAGCCCTGCTTGGAGAAAGAAGAGGGCGTTAAATAATCCCTGCCTTGTCGTCCTTCATGGAATAACAGTATCTCGGTAGCACAGAAGCAGAGAAGAAAGCTTTTGCTGTAGTATTGGGGGATGTATCTGAGCAAAGCAAGAGCAATAAAGGGGTTGCCTATACAAAGCTGCATCAAGACCTGCAGCCTCACCGTCTTCTTCCCCTGGAGCCGTAGGTAGAACTGATGTCTCCTTAGTTCCTGGTGCTGTGGATGCCCAGGGAGAGGAAAATCACCCTGAATCTTGCTCAGCTTTTCTTTAAAATAATTAACACCGAATACAGCTGATTCTTGGGGACATACCTCTCCCACACATGCCTAAAGGACTTGAGTATTGCCTGAGAAGGAAATAAAAAGACATCTCACACTTTTCATCTCTTGCCTAATTTTGAAAGCCAGGATTTTTAGAATGTCTTGTGGAAACCCTATCCTACGGTGAAAGGCGATTAAATATAAATTATGAATTATTTCATAATATAAATTATGAACTATTTCATAAGGGCGGGGGGTGTCTCCTAGGAAAAATGGATATGTCTGGACAACTGTTTTTGGTGAGATGACCTGGCACAAGAACTCCAGCAGCCTTATAACTCTCCATGTCAGCCTTTCCCCAGCAGGGTGCAGGGCTGGCTGCTCTGCCAGCAGAAGGTTACCGCGAACCTTTGCCTCTACATGGTCCCAGAGCTGTCTTGATTCAGTTAATGCTAATTTTTCCATTGATGCAATTGTAAAAAGGATGATTATGTATTTTTTAAAAAGTGCTAAACCCATAAACTGTGTCAATTCTTTGAAGAAAAAGACTTTACTCATTAAAACTACATCATGCAGGTCCGATTCTACTTCCACTCATAAAATACTTTGGCACCATGATCAAAGAATTCATATCAGTTCTGCAACTTGTCCATTTTTACAGCAGTGCACGGAGAAAATCGAAATTGAATGTGTTACACTAGAGAAAGGACAGGCGAAATTTCAGCTACTGTGTGTGCAGTTTACCGAGGGCAATGCGCTGTACGAATCCGAGCAGAAAATCGAGGTATTTTGTGAGAGAGGCATCCTTTGCGCAGCTAGATCTATTTTTATAGTGGTTCCCAAATTGCAATTTCAGTGCCAGACATTGTAAAAGGTACGTGGAAATTGTTCCACTGTGTGTTACTAGTGACAGGTTGATGCCAATAAAAACTGATGAGAGATGTTGAGGTTTAAAAATGGCTTTATGACCCCCAACAGTTTGGGAAATGTTAGCTTAATTAGTACAGTGCTTTGCTTTTAAAGCAGAACAGCTTTATTTGAATTTTGCTCATATAATCATTAGTAAAGTTCTCACTCATTGACTGCGTTTTGATGAATAAGGATACACAGGCTCAGATGATAAATTTCTCAGGCAACTTGCAGGAAAAATGACCAGAAACGTCCCTGTTTGCACACACATCTTAATGCCCCCAAAGGAAAGAAAAGCAACAGACGGATTACACCTTCAGCTCAAGTCTCCACCTTAGCACTAAAAGTCTCGTAAAAGACGGGAAAAACCCGAAGATCTGTGGCAAACTACGTCCTCTCCCCCTCGCTTTCGGCCGAAGGATTGGGAAGATCCTCTGGCCAGGGTGAGACAGGCCTTCCTCCTCCTCCTCCTCCTCCTCCTCCCGTGGCACTCCCGGACCCGCAGGGAGGGACCGTGGCGGTCCCCGAGGGATGCTCAAGGGGTTCCTGCTGCCGGGGGGGGGACACGTCTGAAGCCTCCCCGTCGAGGAGGGGATGAAGATCCGCCTGACCCACGGCAAACCCGGGCAGCTCCCGCTTCCTTCCAGCCGCTCTTTTCTGTTTCTAGTTTGGGTGGGATTTCCGCCCCGCCCCCCCGTTTGATTGAATTTCCGAGGGTCTTTGAGGCGGTGGCTGGAACAGCTCGTTTCGCTCGTACAAAATGCTTTTTCCCGCCGCTGTCCCGACCGAGAAGATGTTTCTGGCGACAACCGGGCAGCGGCCGAAGAGAAGGCAGGTCGGGCCGGGGGCGCCCGGCTGCGGAGCATCGCTGCCCAGGGGGGGTTCCCGCAGGGAAGCGCCCGACCACCCTCCCTCCCCGCTCCTCCCCACCTCCAGGAGAGGTGGAAGAAAGGCAGGAGCTTTTCGCCAAAGGAAAAAAACCCTGGGGCCATCCCTACCCCCCGGCCCAGCGAAGTCCCGCTCTCGTCTGGCAGCTCCATCTGCCTCTGCTCGCTGCCCGGAGATCACCCGGGGATTTTCTGCCGCATCTCTGGGCTTGCACCCACTTCTCGGGGAGGCGAGCTCAGCCCTGGGAGCCGTGGAGCACCCCCACGGCCCCCGGGGAGCTCCCCATCTCCCACCGCGGAGCCCCGACGGCCGCGGAGCCGCAGCGTCTCCCGCAGCCGCCGGTGGAGCCCGGAGGAGGGTCTGGCTACCTGTGCCGGTCATCGGGGGAGAGAAATCCTGCCCGCAGGACACTCGGGCTTTTGTTTTTCTTTCTTTCTTTTTTTTTCTCTTTCTTTCCTTTTTTTTTTCTTTTTTTCTTTTTTTCCCAAAGGCAAAAGAAAACGAAACAAATCGGGTACCAGTTTCCAAAGAAGCCAATAATAGTCCTGGGGGGTCTCCTCGGTCGAACCGATGGCCCGGGGCCTCTGGAAGGGGACGGGGACGGTGGGGTGCCAGCCCCGGGAAGGTCCGGGCTGCTCGGCTCCGCGGCGGCCGCCCGAGACCCACCTTCCCCCGGGGAAGCTGCCCCGGAGGGTCCGCTGCGGCGGGGGGTACCCGGGGAAAGCGGGGCTGGCCGGGCTGCGACCTCCTCCGGCTTCTCTTTTGCTACAGCCCGACACCTTTCGTTTCATTTTTGGGAGTTTCGGGGTAGAGGCACAGTTTTTCCCCGGGGGAAGGCGGGCGAGTGGTCGGCCAAGGTTACGGCACGGCCCTCCTCTTCCTCGGCCCGGGCCGTGGGGTTCCCCGCGGCTCACCGAGAGTCCTGCTGCCTTCTGGGGGTGAGGCTGGGGGGCAGCAGGTCCCTGGAGCCCCCCGAGGGCAGGTTCCCGGGTGGGCACGGCTGCAGATCCTCCTTACCTCGGAGCTCCCCGGAGGACACTACACAGTCTCCCTCGAGGTCGTTGCTGTTGCCCGCCCCTCGCTTTTTGTCCTCTTCTTTCTTCCACTTCATCCGTCGGTTCTGGAACCAGATCTTGATGTGCCTCTCGGTCAAGTTCAACATGACAGCCAGCTCCACCCGCCGCGGCCTGGAGATGTACTTGTTGAAGAGAAACTCCTTCTCCAGCTCCAGCAGCTGCGCCCGGGTGTACGCCGTCCTCGTCCGCTTGTTCTCCTCAGGCTCCACCACGTAGGATCCCCCTGGAGAGAAGGGCAGAGTCAGCCCCGGCCCCCCCGGCCGCCCCCTCGGGTTGGGGCTGGGGGGGGGACACGTCCCCGCAGCCCTACGCGGCGCGGAGGATACGCGGGGCGCAGCGAGGCGGGTGGTGGTGGCGACAGTTGAGACTGCTGCTGGTTTATTTTATCCTAATTTTTTTTTCCTTACAATAATTTGGTTGAAGTTTTCAGGGAAGTGCCGTGCCTCAAGCCGGGAGGGCTCGACCGTCACTGTTGGTGTGTCCCTGAAAGCTGCGAAGGGCTCCTGGATCCAGGGCCTGGCAATTGCTCAGATTTGCGGGAAAGGGAAAGGGAAAGGGAAAAGAAAAGGGAAAGGGAAAGGAAAAAGAAAAGGAAAAGAGAAAAAGAAAAAGAAAAAGAAAAAGAAAAAGAAAAAGAAAAAGAAAAAGAAAAAGAAAAAGAAAAAGAAAAAGAAAAAGAAAAAGAAAAAGAAAAAGAACAAGAACTTCTTCCCCCCAAAACCAAAACAAAACGGGAAAAAACCCCACACAAACAAAAAAGCCAACCAATACCCCCAACCAAAGCAATAACAATAATAATGATAATAATGATGATGATGATGATAATAATAATAATAATAATAATACTTTCGTGTGTACCGCACACGCACAAGCAACCGAACGAAACATAATTAAAAAAAAAAAAAAAGGATAAATGTCACCTCTCCAGCAAACGACCGGGCGGAGAAGGCGCCGGCCGGTGGCGGCGGGGTCCCGGGGAGGCGGCGGGGAACCCGGCGGGGTCTCGCCGCGGGCCCCCGGCGCCACCGGCCGCAAAAAGGGGGGGGAATCTCAGGGAACGGGAATCTTGGGCGGCGGGCAGCGCTCTCCGGGGATGTCGCCACGGAGCAGCCCTGGGCCCTCGGAGGTTTCGCTCCTTCCCGGCAGCGGGGCCCCCCCGCGGGAGGCAACGCGGGTGGGCTGCCGGGTGGGGAGCGGGACCGGGGTGGGGAGCGGGACCGCAGCCCCTCCTTTTCGCCCGGTTAGTGAACCCTCGGATTTCTCCTTCCCGGAAAGAGCGACAGGAGCGGGATGGCCGTTCCCCACGCTGCCGCCGCCGTCCCGCGTGGGCTCTGGGCCGGCGGCGGCAGCGAGAGGGGCCGGGGGTGGGCACACAAACTCCCGGCCGCTGCTGCCGAGGGCTGGGTACGGTTTTCGGTGGGGATATCACCTGGAGGGAACGGTGGTTTAAACCGCCAGATGGAAACAGCCACTGCAAGAGACCTGCGCCGGCTCCCCCGCCTCTCTCCTACCTGCTCCCACGATTTTATACATATAATGGCTAGAAATAGAAACCTACGTATGCAAACTTATGTGCGTGTATATATATTTGAAGATATGTATTAAAAAGACATGTATATACATAAAAAATGTTTGTAAATACAAACCTATGTATATACACCTACGTGTATATACATTAAAATATGTCTTAAAATAAACGTTTATGCATAGTGTTTGTAAATACAAACCTCTGGACACACACGATGCGTGTGTATGGAGCTGAAAAAAAACTTCATTCTGTTACGGTAAATTAAACTAGTGCTACCGGGAAGGTGAACACGGGGGGTCTCAGCGGCTTCTCTGGGTGCCTTTCCCTGGCACTAAAAAGGCAAAGCCCCGCAGAATCCGCGGACGCCCAAACCCCAAGGGTTTGCATTAAAAAAAAAATAAATCCTTAGGCTATACAGCTTGTAAAATATACCCTACAAAACAACCCGGGCTTTGGCTACGAGGGTGGCATAGCCCTGTGCCCTTTTCGCTGTCCGGGCGTGCCCCGTGCCCCGGTTCCTGCGTGTGCGTGCACACACCCCGCGCGCAACGTGGAACGGTGCAGCACAGCCCTTGCCTGCACCTCCCGGGAAAAGCGGGAAGGAGAGGGAAGAGTTTTCCGCTTTTACCGGCAAAGTTTCGTTTTGCTGCTCGTTTTGTCATTCCTCGGGGACAGCAGACAGAGGAAAAAAAAGAGGTAGTTCGAGAGTTTGGCTTTATATTTTTTTTTCTTTCTTTTTTTTTTTTATTCCCGAACTTCATTCGACCCAAGGAAAACGATCTGATTTTTGTCTCCACAACCCCCCCCAACCCCGGCACAATATCTGCCGCCGAGTTCCTCTCCCCTTCCCAGCGGAACCGCCTCCCCCCCCTCGGTCCGCCCCACGCAATTCCCAAACTATTTCGTGGCGATTTTAATACTCCAGTCCTTTTTTTTTCCAACTGTCTATTTGAACATAAGCCATTAATATAATATTTGCCGTAGAGGCGTGACAAAGGCGCGGGACACGATAACATTGTGCAGGCAGAGACAGAAATATTGTTGGGCAGCGGAACTTTCTGCCTAGATAGAGTTTCTTCCCCTCGCTGGCAGCTCGGGTTCGTTTGTGTATTGTTTCCCCTGCCCTGGGGTTTTTCACCTGGAAAAGTGCGATTATTGCTAAAACCCACCGACAAGCAGGAGAAGGGGGGGTCGGGAGGGGAAACGGGCTCTGCCCCCCCCCGGGCACCGGGGAGACCCGAGAAGCAGCGGAGAGGAGCAAGGCGGCTGCCCCGGGGGTTTCGGGGG